GATTCATAACTGATTTTCCTATGCAGTGGTGAGTTCTCTTTCTTAGCTATGCTTCACATTCTTCTCAATGGTGGCATTTTGCTTTTTCATCAGTTTTAGAATAAATCTCATTTCTTACCTCCACACTGCAGCAAATACTGAAAAGGAGAATGGATTTGCCATGTACTATAGAATTCTTCCATCTGCTCTACGTTTTACATGGTTTGTCTGATTATTTAAAAGCTTGCCATTTTGGCATCTGGGACATATGTGTTTGTATGTGTGTGTCTGTATACAAAGATGTATTGAAAAGGATGTTCTCCTGTTTTATCTGTAGGATACATCACTGGCTGAGGTAAACTCATTCAGTTCTTCAGTGCCAATATCCCCCTCATCAATGATAAACCAGTATAAATTGGAAGATGAACCAGAATTAAGAGATCTCTTCATTACAGTCGATGATCCTGAAAGCCACATTACAGCCATCGAAACATTTATTACTTACAGGGTAGTCACAAAGGTAAGAACCTGTTCGTGGCTGTAACGGTATACACTGCTAACAGTAGGAGAATTTTCACTCCTCTTCTTACCATTCTCTGGAATATTGTTAAGTTTAAATTATACTCTGGTTTTGCCATGAGTTACAGACCACTAAAACTGTCTGAAACTCTGCAGTGGGTTCTGGAAAAAACTCAAGTCTACATACATCAGTGCTTAAGTTCTTTATGTCCCTGCCTGTGGTGGGGGGGAGGGTGGGGGGTGGGGGTGGGGGGGGTGGAACTGTATGATCTTAAGGTCCCTTCCAACCTAAACCATTCTATCATTCTGTGAGTCTATGAAAATAGCTACTAATTCTTCCAGAGCAACATCAGTTCTGTGTGAGAATAACATATTCTGCTTCAGCAGGAATATGAAACAGCAGCAGGACTGATTCCGTTTGAAGCAGAATATTAGCCCAAGTATTTGTGACCTTTGTCTTGCTTAAATGTGACCAGCTACAATGTCTTTTAATTCAGTTCCTTTCTAATTGCAGTGTCCGCTATCACATGAATGTGTGTTTCCCATTGACAGTTGCATATGATTTCTGGGGAAGTTGCCATAATTGTGCAATGTAAAAGTAAATCTTAGGAAACAACCAGGTATATTTTTAGCTGTCCTGAATGCAAATTATTGATGAGAAAGAAGGAAGAAAGCCAGCCTTGTGAGACCAGCTGGTTTCTTCTGGGATTACCAGCAAATATTCTGCAGGCTGCATGTTGAGGCTTGCACTGTTCATTTATTTTACTTTGCGTTCCTTTGAAAAGATTCATTTAAACCCGAATTTCCAAATGGGAATTACTCATCCTTAAATATGAGGAGATATCAATTCTTCATGAAATGTTTAAAGAGTAGGAAGAGAGCTATCTTCAGGAGATTGCTAGCAATCATTTTCACTTTATGCATGCTTTTGGAGACGAGAGAACATTTTCTCTTCAGGCAAATATGGCAGGGCTGTAAGGTGGATTGCTTTTGCTTTTTTATCTCTTCTATCCTTTCTTATCATATTTAATTTGAAGTGCTGGTTGTTGATGATAAAGTAATAGCATTCCTCCCACATACCTCAAAGAATTCTTATTCAACCCTCAAAAATGTCGAGTACAAAAGCATGTTTGGAGGTTTGTTGAATTTACTTGCCTTGCGTTATAAATCTCTGTGCAACAATGCATGTTAAACAGCACACATTAATGAAAATACGGGCTCTTTGTGGCTTGATTTGAGAAGATAGAGCACTGATAAAATAAATGTCATGGTCTGACAACTTTGCAACCCTGTAATAAGCATTTTTTCCTGCTCATTAAAGGTTTGTTGGCGAGTTCTAACAAAGGGCTACAAAACTAGAAGTGATAATGGAACACAGAGTCCGTTAAGCAGTGCAGGAAGTGTTACTGCTATGATATGCTGAAGTTTTCATTTCTTGAATGTGGGGATTGTTGCCTAGTGTCAGCAAGTCCTGAGGATGTATGGCAGCTATTTGGGGCTTTTATTTGGAATGCTAAAAAATGGACGTTCCTCACTGGTGGATTATTAATAACTTGCAAAGAAGTGCCCTAAAAGTAAGGAACACAACCATGATTACTGAAAGGAAAACACCACACTAAAATAATGATTGAAATATTCTGAAACACTGTGGGAGGCTAATATTGTAAGTGACTCTTTTTACAACAAAACTTTGATTTCTTGCTCAAATGAGATGTGTTTTATCTCTTCAAGTTGATCGTTGAACTTCAAGAGCCAGCAAGCAAATAGCACAGGCAAAATAGAATCACAAGTATTCAGTTTTCTTTTAAATCTAATACTATTCTGTTCTTCTTTTATTTTTTGGCACCTTAACCTAGGCCTGTTTTTTCTGCCTCTGTTTTTCAGACATCCCGGGGTGAATTTGACTCCAGTGAATATGAAGTTCGAAGACGGTACCAGGATTTCCTTTGGTTGAAGAGCAAACTTGAAGAAGCACATCCAACACTGATTATTCCTGTTTGTTCAATTATTTGTTAAAATATTGGTTAATTTATTTGTATTTGTTTATAAGATGGCTTCAGTGTTCTATGGAGATGCTTGAGGGCTTTCTTCAGTTTCAAACTCAACCTCTTTTTATTAGTTTTACATGTATGTGATAATTAAAAATCCCATAAAGGTATCCCATAAATACCCATAAAGCTATTATGGTTCTAATTGTGCCATTTGCAGTAATTTATGCCCTTCTTTCTTAGTTGTACTTGTATTCTTCTGCACTGTGTGCTAAAAGAGCCATGTTCTTTTAGCACCACTATTGAATATGATAACTTTATAACAGTTTGGGGTTTGTATGGTGGATTTTACAAGGGTTTTTTACCTGTTTTTTTTAGTAAGTTGAAGAACTATAATAATACCCATGATATTATGCAAAAGATACAATCTATTTCTTCTTCTTTCCATAGCCATTGCCTGAAAAATTCATCATGAAAGGAATGGTGGAACGATTCAGTGATGAATTCATTGAGACTCGAAGGAAAGCTTTACATAAATTCCTGAACCGCATTGCTGATCATCCAACTTTAACTTTTAATGAAGACTTCAAAATTTTTCTTACTGCACAGGCCTGGGTAAAATGACTTTAGTTTTGTATTTACAGATGTGTGAAACCACGTCTTGTGTTAGTAGAGTATATCAGGAGTCTCATAGTGTCAGTAGATTCAACAGTGTCCTCCCACAGCTTGTGACAGACGTGTCAGAAGAAGACAGGGGATTTATGAAATATTCATTCCCTGAGATAACCTTTTCTTCTGTGCTTTTGGTACATAAAAACTGTATTTATTGTTACAAATTGTGTTGCTATAAATATTGCTGTATCTTCCATAGCAGCTTTTCTTGCCCCATTTTGGATTTCTATGTCAAATTCACAATATCTCAACTCTGCATGCTTTTTGGTATACAGATAAGCTTCCAAGATGATATGAAAAGTGGTATTTAAAATTAATTCTTGTTTTGGCATGGCACTGTCTTTTTCGTCTGCTTTTCTCAAAAGAGATATACTAGTCTCATAAAACTCAAATACAGCCTTTGAATTTCCTGTTGTAGTTTTGCATGATGTATCCAGTTGAAAATTGAACGTTTGTACTCAGCAAAAGCTCTGAACTTCAGCAAAGCTTATTCTAACAACATAGAAAAAGAGTTAAGGAAAACAAAGAGATGGATTACTTCTTCCAGTAGGAATACTGTTTGCTTTTCTCAATGACTTATTCCAGCAATAATTACCTCTGCTTGCCTGTCAAAAGGCTAAATTGCAAACCAGCTACCTCACCCTAAGGAGTGAAAGGGTAAAGGTTCTTGGGAGAGAGTGATAACACAGCACGCTTGTGTTTGCCCAGAAAGCTGAGCTAATAAATGCACGTGACAGGAAGAGTTCTGACACTGATCTCGTAAGTTTAAAGTAAAGATTTCTATGCTAAAATAAAACAACGCATGCAGAGGTTTAAGTAGTTTTGTTGGGGTTTTTTTTTGAAGAAAAAGCTTTAAAATATGTGTTAGAGAATTTAAAAGAAACTACTTGGAAGTAAACACTTGTTCTGTCCTTAGGAACTCTCCTCCCACAAGAAGCAAGGTCCTGGTTTGCTGAGCAGGATGGGACAGACCGTCAGAGCTGTAGCATCCTCAGTGAGAGGAGGAGGAGTTAAAAATCGTCCTGAAATGTTTACAGAAATGAACAGCTATATGGAAGCATTTAGTCAGAAAATCAATGTACTTGACAAAATAGCCCATAGAATTTACAAGGAAGAAAGGGGTAAGTGGAAAACAAGTATCAGTTTTATTGATGAAAGAAATGAGTATATTGGCAAAGTAAATTAGTTTTCATTATGCCAGGCAAAGTTCCCAGCAAGCAGGAGAAAGGAGAGATTGGTGTTTCTATTGTACTTTTCATAATGGTTATTGTTTTGGCAGCCCTTCAAATTAGTTTGAGTAACTTGTTAACAGGAAGAGTTTTAACTTATCATTGAACTACTTGACCAGGAACTTAGAAAAAAATGTAGCAAGTTTGACTCTATTTTTACTTGTGCTTTTTGGAAAGCTGTGTGACCTTTTGTTTTGTACTTTGAGTGGAATGTGAACAGTCACAGTTTTCTGGGCTGTCTCATACTGGCATAATGCTGTCTAGAGTCCAGATCTCTAAACATTTCTTTTCTGGGTTTCATTCTGCACCTTTTTCCATGTCGACCAAGGAGATTTTAGGGTTTTTTAAATAGCTTTACCATTGGCTGTAATTTCTGTTAGAGTTTTCTTAAGAAGGATAGCTTAATCTCAATTTTCTCCTTAAGTAACAGCAGTTTGCACCTCTTTGGAATGTTACATTTCTGACTTTCTGAGATTAACCCTCATCTCAGACTAGGCCTATTCAGTAGAACTTCCACTGGTCAGCACTTGAAGGGATTTTATTGTCTGTATAATATAATTTGAAGGGCTGCACTGTGTTCTTTAAGAACTGAGCCCTTGTGCAGTACCAGACCTCAGCGTGTCCTCACTAAAATGGAGAGGGTCTTATAGAAGGAATTGTTTCTTTTGATATCATTCATTTCAGTGGAAGTAACTGGTTGAGATCCATAGGATCAAGGCATCAATGCCAAAATATTTCTCGGAAAACCTCATGAATTTTGACATGCTCCCAAATGCTGTAGATCATATCTTTCTAGATTTTCAAAATAGCACTGGGCGGAACACTTGTGTGCAGGGCTGCACTGTTGTGGATGGTGATAACTGATTCAGACAACATTCGTGCTTGCAGTAGCTTAACATGGGATTCTTAATGACATCTTTCATGGAGGTTTTTGTTGTCCATTTAATCTCAAAGTAAGCATTACACTCTTCATGCCACATGGCTGCTTTGCACATTTTCTTGGACATTTCTTTATTATCACTTCAGTTGTGATGAAATTGAGTTTTCAATACATGACCAGCACGTTCACAATACCGTCCTGTAAACATGCAGCTTCCAGATCATAGCCAGCCTTGCCCAAGTTTGGCCCTACCAAATGGCACAATGGTGAATTCTGGGCTTTTTGTCTGCTTACAGATTATCACTTGGCCTAGAGACAGAAGAGAATTTGTAGGACCTCCTAGTATTTAGATCAGTAAAAACTACTAAATGAGCTAACACCTGCAGAACTGGAATCAAGTTCAGTGTGTCTTCCGAAGCTTGTGGGACATAGTAGGCTTAGTAGACAGGCTTAGTAGACAGGACTTGGAGCGCTACTGTAGCAGAGGAATTCAGGGCAGTAGAAGCAAATCAGACGGACTTCTGCCCAGAGATGCTATGGCTCCTGTCCCTCTCTATGAAGACAACATGAACTAATTCGGGTCATTGGGTCTTGAATACAATTCTTGAGGTCTACCTGAGTATGTGTGTTCTTTTGAAATGACTGGGGCATTTTTGCTGATAGGTTTCTAGGAACTGCTTAATTACAAGACATTCATTGCTTAGTTTATTCATAAGCAATGAACTGCAGTTTACTTACCTCAGTCACTTGAGCAGATTTAAACCTTAGCCTCAGTCTCTTACTTTGTTCACAGCAAACTAGGAGGTTGCAATTAGTATCACTTAGACATCTATTAATGAACAAAAGAGTAATATGCATATATGTTCCTGTTAAGAGTATTTTAATGAAATGAAAGAATATGGCCCCATCCACACACTGTGGTCAGCATCAGAAGAAGATATAGCAGAGTCCCTGAAAGGTGTTGCCAGCTGCATTGACAAGTGCTGCAAGGCTACAGAGAAGAAGATGGCAGGGCTCTCAGAAAACCTGCTTCCCATTCTACATGAATATGTCCTCTACAGTGAAATTCTGATGGTAAGTGTTCCTTAAGGATTGCTTATGGCTGTATGTAAAATCTGGTATAGTCCAGTAACAAACTCTAGAAGAGAATTCTGTCTTTATGAAAAGTGCACAGCAGGGGATAGCTGTCCATTAGGGAATCCGGTTCTATTTCCCTTGCTAATCAGGCAAGAGGCACCCCTTCCAGATGAGATCTTAGTAGTTTTGGCTAGCGGGCAGCCCTTTGTAGATGTGCTAAAGAACATGAGGTTTTGCCATCTGCACTGTAGCAGAGAGACAGGATCACAGAAAGGTTTGAGGAAGAGCAGCTGGGAAAGACCTCCTCTGAAAGGAGTCTGAAAGGCCTTCCTTTCTGCTGAAATATGAACTCATCAAGCAACAGATTGTGTGGGGGAAAAGGAGTGGAGAGGTTTTTCCCTTTCCAGGAGATGTTCCTAAACTGTGTTTTCTTTTTTCCAGAACAGCAGGGAGCTTCCAGTCCCTGTGCCGTTATATAAGCAAGTGTTAGTCTTTGCCATAAGCTGATGCTTTCAGTTCCCTTTATGTATGCGTTTTTCTTAACACTCAGAGAGAATGGAAAAAATCTCACTACAGAGTTGACAAAGTCAGTGCTGATGGATAATCAACATGATTAAGTAACTGAATTCAGCATATAATTCCTACTCCGCTGCCTCCAGGAAGCAAAAAATGCGTACAAACCCCTCTTTGTCTAGGTTTTGAGCAATGCAAGCTGCAGGATCTGTTCTTGCCTTACTGCTGGGAACCCAGCTGCTGCTGCAGTGGTTTCTGAGTAGGAGCTGAGAGTGTGTTATAGGCCATGGGTAGAGCAAGACCCAAGTTAACTGAGCCTTTCCTGGCACTGAACAGAGAATTGCCAGTTTCTCAGTAAGGCTTAAGAATTATTGCTGCAATGCCCGCAGGGAAATGGGGGTAGGAACTGCTTTGCTTAAAGCTCTGAATTGATTCCTACCAATTGCAGGTCTTATTCCTCTGCCCCCCCCTTACAGACTTCACATTTTCTGTTACCCATGAGCATTCCTAGCCTTCATGCTATTGAGGAGATGCTGCCTGCCCATTGCCTTCTACTTCGCATCACCCTTTCTCTTTTTCCAGTATCTGGAATTCTACTTTTGAATATCACTCTTTTCTATTTTCCAGTATCTGAAGGGGGCCTACAAGGATGCTGGAGAGGGCCTCTTCATTAGGGATTATGTAGTGATAGGACAAGGGTTGATGGGTTCAAAGTGAAACAGGGGAAGTTCAGGTTAGATCTAAGGCAGAAGTTCTTCCCTGTGAGGGTGCTGAGGGCTGGCACAGGGTGCCCAGAGAAGCTGTGGTTGCCCCATCCGTCGCAGTGTTCAAGGCCAGGTTGGAGACAGGGGCTTGGAGCAGCCTGCTCTAGTGTGAGGTGCCCCTGCCCGTGGCAAGGGTTGCAACTGGATGATCTTAAGGTTCTTTCCAACCAAAACCATTCTGTGATTGTGATTCTGATTCTCAGATATTCTCTTTTGTCCAGAGCACAGAGAGGTTCCTGTGGACAAGCCCCAGAGTGACTGCCTGGCTCTTTATGCACATTACAAACAGCTGTTGCCCATGACCTTGTTTCTTTCTGCTTACAGTGTTCTTCATTCAACATTTGCAACACAGGATTAGGCTGCCGTGTAGTTCTGTCCAGAAGAAAATCTTCCTTCACTTGCTCATTCCTATTCTACAACTGTTTCTTTCCCTTCATTTACAATGGATTTTTTGTTTTCCTACAGCTTGCTTCCCTCTTGCAGTTGGGAGTGGGCAAACTTCTACTCACACTAAAAATACAAGAAGGGAAGTCACACACTAGTAAAACCTGCTTTCAGACGTGTGTTTAGCCCCTCATCACAGGGACCTTTGTGCTCTGCTGCTAGGATCATGGGGAGATGAGCAGGAGAAGGTGTGGTGGATACAGTACAATCCTTGTATTTTCCAGGTTTGGAAGCTCAGCCTGAATCTGAGGAAAGCAGTGAATTCATAGCTAAAATATATACATCTGGATTGGCTCCTTCCTAAGTGACTAACAGAACAAATCTGGGGAGTGCAGAGTCCTGCTGTGCCTCAGGGTACAAACTGCAGCATTAAATCGGTTATGGGTCCACGTATCATTATTTGAGGGTTTTATGGCAGGGTACCATAAAATATTACACAAAAAACATTGTACAAGTATAATAATATGCTTTAAAAACTTTAAAAAGTCCCTTTCTTTGCCATTAGAAGTCAGCACTTGTCTGCAGTTGTAGCACATTAATATTAAAGTAATTGGGTTTATCTTGTAATTTAAGGACTATTTGTGGTAAAAGTTGCCAAATAATCATTAAAAGAGTTTTAAAAGAGGCAAAAGAAATAGAAAAAGCATTTTTAAGGACAGCTTTTCCAAACATACTCATTTTGCTAAATGTTTTCTCTGTTTATCTAACCAAAAGATACCCTGAGCTATAAAGATATAGATTGATGAGCATTAGTGTATATTGCTAATCTGTTACTACTCACATTTGTCCATTCAGGTTCACCAATATTTTTCTAGTGAGTACCTGTTGAAAAGTTATTTGATAATTAACCTCCTAAATTCTTCTGTTGTGTTTGTTAAAGTGACAAGATTTCAAAGCGAACTCAGTCAGATAAGACAGCTAGAGAAGGTAGAGCTGCTTGTGCCCTCTGCTATTTCAACATGCCCTCTGCTAGAGGTGAATTCACAGAATCTCTTCAGTATATGCAGAAGAAGCAGTGTGGCAAGGTGATGTAAAAGAAGGGTTTGAGATTTGTATTCTATATCTGCTTCTGACTTCTTTTCTTTTTAAAGAGGATGAAAGCCTTGTAACATTTCTGCAAGATAAGCACACCTGAGTATGCTTTTCCAGATGACGAAACTAAGGCTTCATCAAGGTCACAGAGCAAGTGAGCATTGGAAATGGAAATCTAATCATAATACCATTCCTGTTTTGTAGTTCAAGTAACATTCCTTCTCCTTTCTAACTATTTTTAACATTATGCTAAAAAGCCAATATCTACTAAGACAGTTTTAAAGGAGGTAATAGTTACATACCCTGAAAATAAGCACACGTACCAGTGTTAGCACATCTCTCATTTTCATTATAATTTCATCTGATTCTTCTAAACTACTTTTGGCACTTACAAAATAATATTGAAGGTTAAACTCACAATTGCAGGAATATCATTTTTAGTCATTTTTTCTACTCTATACTGTAACTTTTTTCTCAAAGAAGATACTTTTGTTCCTGAGATTGGGCAAACTCATGTTGCTGGTTTCAAATCTGAATCTATACTAAGTTGAGCTGATACTATGTAAGCTGCTGTTGTAGATTTTCGCATACAGGCATACAGTGACACTATGTATGGCAGATTCTTGTAGCACTGATTTGGGATTTACCAAGATTCTTGAAAAACACGTAAGATAAATAAAATACAGGTATTGAAAAGTAAGTTCATGATTTTAAGGGTTTTTTCCTAGAAAATACATGTATCAAGTCCAAAATACTAAATGGCATCATTCTGTGATCTTGGTTCATTTCTTAAATAGCCAAGTTGTTTGATGGTTTTCTGTACAGATGGCTAAAATTTGGTGACGTTTACTACTTTCTTTCTTTCTCTTTTTCTCTATGAAGGGTGTTTTGAAAAGGAGAGACCAAATTCAAGCTGAGCTCGACTCCAAAGTTGATGCCAGTAAAAAGGCAGAAAAGGATCTGGTGAGTATGTACAGAAAGTTGAAATTTTCCAGGCCTTATTCTAACTGTAAAAGATGATCCCCTGAGGAAAGCATGTCATGGAATCATAGAATGGTTTTGGTTGCAATGGACCTTAAAGAGCATCCAGTTCCAAACCCCTGGCATGGGCAGGGGCACCTTCCACTAGAGCAGATTGCTCCAAGCCCTGTCCAACCTGGCCTTGAACACTGCCAGGGATGGCTTTTACTTCCGGGCACCCTGTGCCAGCGCCTCAACACCCTCACAGGGAGAAACTTCTGCCTAAGATCTCATCTCAGTCTCCCAGGTTGAAGCCAATGCCCTTGTCCTGTCCCTACAGGTCCCTGTCCAAAGCCCCTCTCCAGGTTTCTTGTAGCCCCTTTAGGCACTGGGAGATGCTCTGAGGTCTCCCTTTAAGGATCCTTCCCTTCTCCAGGCTGAACAAGCCCAGCTCTCTCAGCCTATCTCCACAGGAGAGGTGCTCCAACCCTCAGAACATCATTGTGGTCCTCCTTTTGACTCTGCTCCAACAGCTCCTTGTCCTTACGAGTACTGAGCACAGTACTCCATGTAGGGTCTCACAGGAGCAGAGTAGATGGGTAGAATCACCTCCCTTGACCTGCTGGCCACGCTTCTTTGGGTGCAGCCCAGCATACATTTGTCCTCTGAAGCCATGCTTTATAACTGCATAATCTGTAATTCTGATCCTTAAAATTACTTGGTCTTCGTAGCTATGCATGTCCTGTAAAGGCAGTCATGAGAAAGAGGCACAGCTTCAGCAGATAGGACACTGAAGCAAAGGAAAAGCAAACAGTGGGTGACCACTCTTGTTTTGTTAACCCAGTCTGTACCATAGCTTAATATTGGCACTTCTCTTTACTTCCACACTGGGAGATAAAGGAAAGGAGGATTTGCTGCAGTGCTCTTGGAGCTGCTGCTCCAAGGATGGATATTGACATTTTTAAAATTCTTGTATAACTCTCCAGCCCAAATAGTGTTCTTTTAGCGCAGTGTTATCACAAAGTGTTACACAGAATACATAAAAATGACTAATAACTTTTTAGTACATCAAAGGAAAAAGTCCTTGACATTTCAGGTACTTTTAATTAGGGTTGTTGTAATCAGCTTTCATGTAAAGATGAGCTGCTTAGATGGGGTTTGGCACTTGAAATGCATATTTTTCTGTGATTTCTTGTCACTGAGCTGAATAATTCAGTTATATTAGCACTGTCTGAGCTCTACGATGGCTATAGCATATTTTGTACCAATTTGCCTTTCTGTCCTGCAGTAGGACAGTAAGTAAATACCTCTAGGTTTGTTTTTTCCTGAAGTAGAAATTCTGTTCTCTTATATCTTCTGCTGTCCTGTGGTTTCATAGAGTATTGCCTGGCAGCATGTGGTCTTTTCAGAATGTATTTCTGATGCAGATCTGATGAGTCCTCAGACAAGGCACATGCACCCTCTCTTCCTGAACTGGTACAGACAAAAAGGAGTATTTTTCCTTGCATAGTATTGATCATACCATGTTGAGTTCATCTCGACAGTGCTTACTCTGTAAGGAGGTATTTGTACTTGCTTCCAGTAAAATTTGGAGATCTTGTTTGTTTTCACTGTTTCTGTGTTTCCAAAGCCATGTTTACAGTTTTGGTAAAAGCCTTTGGCCACTGGGATTATCCAGGTGTTTTGGACATTGGGATTATCCAGGTGTTCAGATCTTGGCTTTATCTTTCCAACTCCTCTTATTTCTTACTCAGTTCAAAACCCCCTTTTTGCAGAGCCTGATTCTCCCTTCAGTCTCACAAGAGCAGTAGAACAGATTTCTGTCTGTCTAATCTGATCATAAACCCCTGTGTTATCCAATGGAGTGGCAGGTGTAGCCTGAAGACTACTTCTTCATTGGAAGTTGAAGGCTTTTTCTATGAATTTTAGTTTGGCCACTGCTATTTTTAACCATTCAAGTAACTTGTAATCACTTTCTTCATCTGTTTTTTTAGTGTAATAATTTGTACTCTCTCTATATATATGTTGAAATATTCTGCTCACATTTCAAACCAGACTGATTTTAGAACCAAAGGTGGTCATACTACATGTTAGTGTCATTGGAATTGGTGTCAAACACTGAGTTTGGCTGTATTTGCACAATTCTATTCCTAAGCAGAACTTATGTAGCTTCTAATGATCTTATAGATGTCAGATTGAACTTGTCAGTGCAATTTAGTAGCGAGAAATTCTGCTGACAACGAGTGGCATGAACTCTAATCTCATTTGAAGCGTATTTCCACCATAGATAAGGAATCTCAGACTGTCATTATAGCTGATAAAAGCCTGCAAGTTCTTTAGCATTGGTCATGACAACCATTAGATGATTTAACCAACAGGAGGTTATACAGCAGGAGAATGCAAAACATCTCCAAGGTCAGTGCAGCTGAAAGAGGCTGGAATCACAAATCAAACTTCAGGAGATGTCAGGTTCATTGGCTGAGAAAAACTGTTTTCTTGAGTTGTGCTTCTGCTACTGGGCTTTTACAAAGTTGCTGGTGGTGCTGCTAAAAAGCCAGAACCTTGTCTCCCTCTCCAAAAGTTAGTCCATGAAGAAGGCAGTTGTTCACAGTATGGAAGGTTTGAAAACTGTGAGTTTGGATGCAGGCTCTGACAGAGGTATCTGGGAGGACTTTGCTTATCTAGACCTTTCTTCCCTCCAGGCTGAAAAGATGTTGGGAGTTTGTGGCTCTTTTCACTCCCACACTCCATTCTGAAAGCATAAACAGCAATGCTAGAGCATCCCTTTGTGGCTTGTTTTTTTTTAACAGTTTTGGTACTGCCACTAGTGCTTTTGACAAGAGGTTGGTATAATGTGCTCTGACAGAGACAGATGAGCATTAAATGCTAACTTGAGGATTTTTGTGTTCAGGATTGAAACTGAGTAGTAAAGAGATGAATTGCTGAATTTATCACATTCTGAATATATCTTATGCTTTAACTCACAGAATCATAGACTCACCAAGCATAGGCCTACAAGGATGCTGGAGAGGGACTCTTCATCAGGGACTGTAGTGATAGGACGAGGGGTAATGGGTTCAAACTTAAACAGAGGAAGTTTAGATCCTGGCGCTGGGCACCAACTCTAGGCTAAGAAGGATTAGTATCACCAAGCTGTAGGATTAATTCACAGAGCAGATAGGAATTTGTGCTGTTTTGCATAGTGTGACTGTAAAATGCTATGTCACTTACCAGGTAATTTGGCTATTAGGTCAATTCTCTTTGGCTACAGGTTCACATCTGGTTGTGTTCTGCCCTAGCAGTGCCTGGTTCCCAGTTCCTGTCCCATCGTCTGAGGTCTGATGAGCACTATCCTGTGTTTCACTGATAGATTTAATTTATCCTGCTAGCTGCTTCAGTGAGATCAGTGTAAGAAAACTGATTCAGAATCTTATTTAATTTGCAGGATAAGTTGTGTAAATGAGGAACACATTAGGTAGATGGTTTTGTTGGACCAAGCCATTCTTCTTTGGTTTCTGCTGTCATGGCAGCTGAAGAGGGTGGCATTTATGTTATCAGCTGTGAAAAAGTAGACCTTAAACATCTCTACTTCAGATGAAGAAGCATGGTGTAATGCTGTCTTTAGACCTTAAGTCCAACTCTTACCTTGATAGAGCACACAATTTCTTTTGGGTTGTAGAGGGTGATGTTTAAACAGCATATCCAGGCAGGAATGGAGAACAGAGTCTGCTTCTCCACATCATGTTGTGACTACACTGTGGAAGAAATTCAGAGTTCCTAGAAAAGGCAAGACAAAAACACCCTGTAAAAAAAAGTCTCAAAGATATGAAGAATGAGATAAGAGGAAGCTGCCACAACCAAGAGTTCGAAGTCAGAAAGGTTCTTTATGTGTGCAGCCTAACTCATTGCCATACAGAGGCTTTTTTTCCTGTAAAAGCAGAATATGGATTCAGCTGCCTTTCCTACACCAAATCATCTGAAAATATTCACTGTTTTCAGTATTCTGTGTGCATTTAGTTTTGGTATTTCAAGGAAATGCAATTAACATGAGACGTGCCCAAAATACCAAATCCAGCTGCCTATAATTCCTTTAAAGGTGATTTCCCCACACTTAAACTTTAGATTAACCTTTTCATATTGAATACAGTGTTGGCAGTTGAAATTACCTGTGTCCATAGTTTAATTACTGATCTGGCTAGATAATTGAACTTGGGCTTTTCAGCTCCATCTACTTCCTCATTCCCATTAGCTGAAAAGTCACTTTGTGTGTGTACAGTGAGTAGAAGCAAATGATGGCTGTAGAGTAGCCCTCAAGGTTTTGGGCCTGGATCACTGTAGAAGAGTTTCTTCTCTGCAGAAGTCCTTTGGTTTACTTTCTTTCTCTGTTTCTGCATTTCTCTCATATGGTCACACAGACATTAGTTCCACAGGAAAAGACAGCAGTGTGACAGGCAAGAAATCAGGCAGTTTGTGCTTTTGATTTCTACTGTCTTCTCCCCCTTCTGTTTTCTCCTGAGGTTCTCAAATGTTCTATCAGGTTTTCCTCAGTTTTCTGGCAAAATCTACTCTGCATAGTTGATTTGGTGTTTTCTTTTTTAGATGCATTACTGTCAAGTGCTAGTGAAGAGGTGCTAGAGTTTGTTAACTTCTCAGTCAATACAAATATCTTCAGCATCACTTTACTTCTGCTCTAGAATTTCTATTGTTAATATCTCAGACTTTTTCCCAAGTTATTCATTAAGAATAAAACTTACATTTTCTCTTGGGGCATGATTTTCTGTGCTAGGTTAAACACCAGCCTCGTTTCTGCATTTCTTTCCTTGCACTACAAACACTTGATTTCAATCCCTTTGAAATCATGCCTTTACTAATATTTTTTATGTTTACAATTCATATTTAGTTCTCAGAAGAGATTGGGAAACTTGAAGACAAAGTCGAATGTGCCAATAATGCCCTGAAAGCAGACTGGGACAGGTGGAAGCAAAATATGCAGTGTGACATGAGATCAACTTTCACTAATGTGGCTGAGAATAACCTCCGTTATTATGAAGAGGTAAAACCACTTTCACAATAGCAGCGTTATTCTTTCATAGATTATTTCAGTGGAGAAGTCCACAGATTGTCTGTAAAGACAAATTTTTGCATTTTAGTCCAGACCTGTGTTAAGTTCAGGATGAGTTTTTGTGGGAAGAGGGAGACAGTTATCCTTAACTGGACATGTTTCAAGCCATATGCGTTTCATTTTTTCCCAAGTGCTTGATCCTGAGTTCATCATCGACAGAGGGCACTCTAGTTTTACTAACCATTTAACCACATAATTTGGACCATATTTTGTGGTTCAGTGTCGGCTGCTATAGTTCAGTTTGGAAATCCTTTGCTGTAACTGCATGAAGAAGGCCTCTGGAATACTGGAACTTCTGTTAAATATATGAGGAAAACATTGAAATGTGATTCCATTTCAGACAGCACATTCAGGAAGTCCTTATTGTTTTTCTAAAGGAATTGTCTTTCGTGAAATAATCAGACTTTAGGAATATAATTTTTAGGAGTTAATATGAAAAGCTTAAAAAATACAAATGCTGCAAGTATGTAAAGTGAATAAATCAAATCTCTTTATAATGGAAACTTACTCCTTCAGAAAGGAAGTGGTTGCAATTAGATTCTTATTTTCATATCAAATGCCACAGATAATATTCTTGGTGAGAATTCCCTTTTACAAGGATGTGTACTGAGACAGAGAACTTGAAAACATATAACCAAATATGTTAAGCATTCTGTGAGGTTTCTTCCTGAGGAACACGCTGTTGATTGAAGAGCACATTTTGAAGACATCCCAGATGTCTTGAAATGATTTAAAGAATTTCTACTTCTTTTGAGAAAAGAATTGCAATATATAAGCCATCTATTAACCATAAATCAGTGATTTCACAGATCTGTGTGGCTAGCTGTGATTTCCAGTCCTGTACGCTGAACTTTTTATGGCGACAGTGTCCTGATTTTACAAATCACTTTGTTAAAACATAATTGAAAAGACAGAGCTCTTGATCATAATCTAATTAATTAACATCTAGTCTATGAGATGCATGGACATCGACAAGCTGTTGTTCCATATTAAAATCAAAATATCTCCTGAAATCAGGCAGCAAGCTTTTGGCATCCTTTCACATTTTCTTCAGTTATTGATGATCTCTGACTTCTATCTCAGCAATATGTGTGTAAAAATGATGCTGAGTGGATTGGAATATTTTCGTAATGAACAATTTGCTAAATTAAACCCCCAAAATAATAATTTATTTCTCTTTCCTGTCTAGAAATGCTTTTTTGCTGATTAGACTTTTAATTCAGAATAGCAAAGCTCATCCTGTACATTAAATTACTCTCATTATGTCACAAACTGGTTTAGCTCTCACATGTCCAAAATTAAACCACTTTCAAGTGTTACCTGTAATTGTATTTCTCCAGATTTAGTCATTAGAAACAAGTAGAGGTATTGCTGTAGCCTTCCAGTTTACTGACTACGTGAATTTAATGTACTTTAATAAGAAGTGATCCTTTGCTTTTGATGCACCATTTGGTGCTTACTAGGCTTTCCCTTGCTGCAGCATCCCTCAGTCTTATTTCCTGCTTCCCCCCCCTCCAAGTATGATCTCTGCATGCTCCCAGGCCATGGATGCCATGGATAGGATTCATGCCCAGCTCTTCTGTTCATCTCCTGTGAGATATCATCTCTTTCTGATTTAGTCAGTACGTGCTTCTCCTCCTTTCCACAGCTTCCTCCCCCTCCAGTTAAAGTCCCATTCTTGCCGGTCGCATGTTATTCTCTATGTCAACATTTCACAGTGCTTTGTTTTTCCCCAGTCTTGCTGACTTCCATTTTCCATGCACACAACAAATTCATGTTGGTGGCCATTCTCTGCATCACTTACACTGCTGAGATCTACAGAGTAATGAGAGACATTTCATGTTTTCTGGTGGATTTTGCAGTAGAGAATCCAGTCCTTCAAGAGTATATGAAACTAACAAACACTAGTGTGATCAAGTCCAACATTGACGTGCATCAAAGTGCGCTAGAACATCTAAAATGTTATTTTGTCTTTGTCACAATATGAGGAAAGAGTATGACCTTACATTTGTTTGGATCTTTCCTTATTTGTAGTTGTCTGAGGGTTCTGCTGTCAATCTGTCAATCATCACTTGAAAGATGTACTTAAAAGAGTATGTCTCATCACATGAAAGAGAATGTCTCCCTTAATCTGAATTGATGGTCATGTTACATGAAGTGCTACTTTCAAGTGTTACCTGTAATTTTATTTCTCCAGATTTATTCATTCAAAACAAGTAGAGGTATTTCTGTAGCTTTCCACTTTATTGACTACCTGAATTTAATGTACTTGAATAAGAAGCGTTCCTTTGATTCTACAGCTGTGGTGTTTCTACACCAGTCTCTTTGTGTCACTCAAAGCTGTGGCAACAAAGATAACTAAAGCCCCATGTTGCATATGTACAGGGTTATGAGAGTGAAGGTTTTGCTGTGATAATGTGCAAGCTATCTTAGAATTTTATTTAAATATTTAAATATAACCATAGAATCATAGAATAGTTAGGGTTGGAAAAAACCTTAAGATCATCTAGTTCCAACCCCCCTGTAATTTAGTAGCCAGGAATTACCAAGACCGAGTATTTGGTATTCCTGTAGCTGGTCTCAAAAGTTCATACGGTTTTCTACTTCCTTTTCTTTGCTTCTGGAAAACAGCTGAACACACACTTAAGTCTCTCTGTATTCCACAAAGGCTTAAAGTCAGTAATATGCTGTATTAATAATGACTGTAAATGCACTGCAAAAATGGGGGGGTGGGGTGGTGGTGGTGGTGTCTGAAACAAGATTTCAAAATTCAGAACCTGATTTCTGAAGTAAATAGCAGTGATTCTTTAGTCTTACAGAGAAAAATGCTTGAATGAAGCATGTGTTAACACCCTACCCTTTATTTTATTCCTTTTCCCCATGCCTTAGGTGTGATGCTATTGTCTGCAATAGCACACCTTAGCACAGACAAAAATCACAGACTGTTCTCAGAGTGGAGTTTACAGCTGAGAAAGATGACTGTCACCAGGAGTATTTTCATTAAGTTAGGTACAGATGCTCTGCAGACTAAAACCAAACCAAGATCTAAAGTTAGTGCTGGTGGTGGTATTATTTAGCCAGCAGGTTTAAAGCATTCCTGGCACAAATGAGCAAAACCAAACCAGGCAATGCTGAACTGTGGCTTCAAAGAGCAATGGAAATTAAACATTTGCTACATTTTTCCTTTTGCTTTTCTCATGTGTTTACTATCATCTTGAGGATATTTACAGCAGCAAAGACAAACACTTTACATGTTTCTCAGCAAGGATCTTTGTTAACCTATTCTCTCCAGAACAAACACCAGAACAAGAAGTAGTGAGATTTTTCAGCCCAATCCAAAGATTAGTTGAACATTCTAAATCCAGCAAATATACCAGAGTTTGGTTTTCCACGGCTTATGAGGCACTGTAGTAAATGCAGGAAGACTGGGTTTTTGTCATAATGTAGGATGATGTTTAATTAGTTTTGGCATGGAAAGAACATGCTTTTCTCTTGTGCATGGATGAGCCTTTTTTTTTTACAGCATAGGCTCTGATTTTCTCATGTCAAACTAATCCTGTTATAATCTTTGCAGCTTAATCAAATCAAAAGCTACAGTCATCTTTGCTATAGTGAGATTCTTGTTGGTAATGACACAACTTTCTCTTTTCCCCAAAATGGAAATCATTTCCTTATTTTCTTAACCATTTCAAGTTTATTTCTGTGACCTACATTGTTGTACAGGCATAAATTGAGCCAAAAGAGTCACTGGGACAAAGCAATACTCCTTCCCCATTACAACAACTTCCTTCGCAATCCAAAGCCCTCCTGCGCCTCTCTAGCTAGTAAAAGCTGTAGAAAAATAGATGAGATTTGTTGCTTGCCCTAGAGGCCTCTGTAGTGATGCATTTAACTAGTAATTTGGTTGCATAGCAAAAAGTTAGCTGCTCATGCATGTTGATTACATCCTACCTTAACAGTGCCTGGGATTTTAGCTAACAAACTTCATGTGATTTCCCAAAGCTTCCACATGGCTGAGCCCATTTGTAACTGTCACTTCAAAGCCATTATCCATCCTTGAACCCTTACTCTTGTCAACCATAAACATTTCTTTTAAATACTTCGAGGAAGATGTTTTTCCTTGCAGTTGGAATCACTGTTTCTGTGAACTCCGGTTTTCATTTCCATGCACCCAGGACTATGACAGTATTTTTGGTCACTTTCTCAGGCACACATAAGATTTTATTTTCAGATTTTACTCCAGAAAATGCCACCAGAAAAGGTATTTTTAAGGTTTCAACCTTGGAGAAGAGGCAACTGGGACAGAAACACACGTGGCACGTGACACACTGCTTCTGCTGTTGTCCCTACTATAGACTCTAGTTTTAGA